CACTTCTATGAGTACAATTTTCAGTACTGAGGGTGTAAATCAGCTAGTTTTAGGAATATTTATTTATTTATATATATATATATATATATATATATATATATATTAGATTCTTATCACTATTAAGAATAAAAATATATTCTATTATAAAATATAGAATTATAAATATGATCATGGTGACAATCATTGTCTCTAAAGAAGGTCGTGAAGATGTAAAGGATAAAAAATGTGAAACCTTGACTAACTAGTAATATTGTGCTTGACTTAGTTAATTGGAATGAAGGAAATTAAAGTGCATTTTTTTTTGGTCTAAGAAAAATTCTTTAATGTTATTTTTTGTAATTTCTTTGAATATTAGCTATCATTGATTCTTTACTTTTGTTTCTTTTTTTTAGTTGGTGGTCATAAGAGAGAGACTTCTCCTATGCATAGAAGTTTTAGACATGATGCTTTCATTAATATGTTGTTGATGGCTTCTCTATATTCAACAGGTTTAATGGTAACATCCCAATATGAAGCAAGCATTATCAAAGGGTATCTATCTTTAAGAGACATCTGTCATTTGGGATGAATCCACACTTTTACGTCCTCTATATTGGTCCATTGGAAATAGCATTTATCAAATGTTTGTCCATGTATTGTAATTGTTCTATCTTGCAATGTTATCTTACATGAAGTCTTGCTTGAAAATGCATCAAGTACCTAGTTGTGGAAAGTAGAAGGAAAATTACAACAAGAAGATCCTAACAACTCTAATAGAATCTTAAATAAATTCTAATTAAACCTTAATAATATTAATTAAGCTTTAATTAAATTCAAAAGAAATATTAAAGAAATTATAAAAGAAATATAAAAAATCCTAATGAAATATTAAATAAATATTAAATAAATATTAAATAAATCTTAATCAAATCCTACTTTAATCCTGATTGAAATCCTAATAGTCCTTGATTAAATCTTAGAACAAATCCTAACTCTAAATCAAATCCTAGATAAATCCTAAATCGTAAATCAAATCCTAAAAAAATCCTAAATCCTAAATCAAACCCTAGACAAACCCTAAATCCTAAATCAAATCCTAAAAGAACTCTAATTCCTAAATCAAATCTTAGATAAATCCTAATGTAGCTTAGAACTCCAATATCTATTGATTAAATTATTGATCTTATTTAAAAATTTATATACCTCTAAACCTCTTAGTTAAAAATGAGTACAACAAATTTGAAGATAATTGCACTTATCAAATGGAAGAAAAATCCTAAAATCTGCTTGGATGTTGGTCGGCCTCCTACTCCAATCTAAATGTTAAACTTCCAATGTCAATATCTTCCATTTGAACTATTTATTTTCTCCCAAACTTCACTTCAATTGTTAGAAATCAAATATAGTCTTTAAGATAAAAAAAATACTTCAATTCAATCAATAAATTGCTAAAGATCTTAAAAATACTCCTTGACATTTAAACTCCAATTTTTCACACCTCAATCCACAAAAACTTTTATGCTTTTTGATCTAATTGTTTGATTGATCTTAAACTTATAATATACATTAAGCACAACTATATCCACGAACCTATGAAATTACACCTAAAGATCTGCTATAAAACTTCCAAAATCGCTCAAAATATCAATCCTATTTTATTTCACAAAAATCAAAGTCATCTAAAACAACGTTGACTTTATAAAACTCTTAAAAAGTCATTACAAAAATAAATCATACAAAATCAATGTTTATAGAAACCTTATTAAGTTTTCTCTTACATCCCGCTCTTTGATCTTCCAAAGAATCCTAGAATCACTATAGGTGCATGGTTTTGTGCCTTAGGATTTGATTTTGACCTAAGGTGACAATTGGTCCTCTCTGGATATCAATTCTTGTCTTCTTGAGGTAATGTTTCCTAAGATCTATTCTTAATTCTCTTCTACATATGTCTATATTATTTTATATTCCAATCTACTTTGTTTTGCCTCATTTATGATCCTACATAGTAAATAGAAGCCTATTTTGTAAAAAGGCAGCAATAGTACCATTTAGTTTTACTATCTTTTCTACTATTATTTATTTTTTAAGATATTTGCTATAATATTTTAAAATAAGATCTTCTATAATATAATGTTTTTTTTTCTCTTTCATTTATTAGCTATATTAAATCATGACACCAAGTTGTCATCTATCTCAATTAGAGTATTTGGTATTATTTCTTAATAAAAAGTTATATTGTGGCCTTTGATGTCATATTAGTATTGTGGTTATTAGATTTATGATAGAGCTTCTTTCGATAGAGCATAGCTTTGTGCTCAATTTCAAGACAATGATTATATTGTTTGGATATGTCTTCATATTCAACCTTGATTTTTATTTTTTTGGTGGTAAATAGCACTGGTAGTATGATGGAGGATGGAATCACCTTGACATCCATGATGCGGATGAATAGCTTGGAAGTAGATTTTTTTAAATAGTTGTCTTGTAAATCCATCCAAATCACCTCTTTGATCTAAGAGCATACAAAATAGGGCTTGATAGAAAATATTATCAAGCTTAAGAAATCTGATCCATAATTGAATTTTGATCTCTTTTGGCTTGAGTGGATCAAACTATGGCTGCCATGGTTGTATGTAGAAGAAGTATTTGCCAAAGTAAAGGGGATTCTAGATGAGGGCCTCTTTTGCCCCAATTTTGAAACAAAGATCAGTACAAAGCAACCACATTGGAGTATTTGTATTCTTGAAACTACCATCAAAGGTTCTAAAAGATTCACATTGATCTAATTTTAGGATTTAGATCTTGAAGGATGTTTTGTTGTAGATGAAGCCAATGAGAGCCACCTTTGGCATGGCATGGGCATCTTCATCAATGAGTGCAATGGTGTCTGGTGAGAACATAGGTCAAAGCTTAGGTCCGAAAGGATATTATAAGCCTTTGACCACCTGAGCCATTTTTATCAAGGATTAGGTCATGCAAGTACAGTAGTATCGTCAAAGAGTTCTCCCCACCATCATCAAAGTAGTATCTTCAAGAGTTCCCACCACCATCATCAAAGTTAACAACCTGGCTTCTTCGACAACAAAGCTCTACCTTGGGAGAGCGTGAGAGATGCTCTCAAAGGTTCGATACCTTCCAAACGCTTGTCATTCTGCCACAAGCAGACGCCAGCCGCAGCTTGAAATAATCTTCTATGGAATCTGTCTCCGACTGCAGGAACATGTTGTGTGGGACGAGGTTCATGTAGTTGTGGGTGATTCTAATCTCCTTTTGTTGTCTGCATAGTGGCGCCAAGCGCCTACGTTTCGCAGCGTATGGTTCTTGCTAGTGCATGTGAACCCAATGTGGCCACACGATCGTTACCACATGGAACATTAAGTTAACTTACGCATTCAAGACAGAATACGAGAAGTTGAGATCGGACCAGAATCAGTAATGAAGGCGTCAGTTTTTCATTTCTCGACTGCAACCGGTCGGAAAAGGCATTACTTTACTGGTAAATTCGTTTCCATTTTCAGTCTTCGTAGTTGCGATTGGAATGAATCTCTGAGTTGCAGCTGAATGTTTAAAAAACTTCTCTGACTTTTGTACTCGTTTCAAATCAACCGCACAGGCTTCTTCTAAGATCTGATCACGCGGGTCGTGCTCTCTACGCCCACTTTGATTACCACATGACAGCTTTGTTCGCTTAAAAAAGATTTCTCTTTCACGAGTCCACGCAAAGTCCGTCCCCACGAAAAAGTGATATACTGATGGAGTGGATGCGTCGCGTGCCCCCACCTCACAAGCGTGGGAGCATTCTTAGGCAATTCGATTCAAGGTTGAGATCGCTCCATCGTATAGCAGTTCATGTGTATTGTCTGCGTGATGATTCAGAAATCCTCATGTTTGTAAAGGTTTGACTGCTAACCCTGGCCGACAGTAAACCGTCATTTCTTGTCCGGACGCTTCTGCCCCTTATGCTCCAGTTCCAAGCACTTATTTGAAGTATATACATTGTGTGTCCAGTTACCAGCAGCCTTCTGGGTTGCAAAGTCACTGACAGACACTCCACATGCGTCTTCACAGCAGTGACAATCTCTGCAATCTACGATTAAATTACATGTTACTAACCATAGAAATGTGAAGGCGTTGATTAGATATGGAACTCATGAGAGCTGGCTCCATTCTATGACATCGCTTGAATATCTTGAGCAAGCTTTCATCAAAAGATTTCCCGGAAGCAATTCGACTGTGTCGCTCTGCAGCTCACGACATTTAATCAGTTTCATGTTTAAAGTTACTGCAGTGTTTTGAATTTATGCCGGGTGTGGCAACTGTGGTGGGTGCTGAATGTTGCTCTCATCGCCCAAGTTCACTTGGACAACTTTGTTACATACAAACAGGAATCTTAAAGCAATTTCCCACCTGTAGCTAATATGACAGGGTGGTGACCGGTCTGCAATGTTTTCCGATCACCGATTGTTCTACTGATGCCTCCGACAAATTCAAACCACGAATTAGGTTGCACATGGCTGGGGGCAAATCGGCCACGTTTATTAAACACACCACAGTTTTGTACTACATTAGTACTATCAAATCCACTCTTAAAACTCTATCCTATTTTTGGTGGCTAGCAGCACCAAATGCACATTCCTTTCTATTTCTTCTTGAAATAAACTTTTAAGAATGTTGACATTTTTGTCAAACCCCTCTATTAACAGTTTTTGAAAGGATTTCAACAATATACATTCGCTATTCAAGGGAGTATTCCATATATATACCAATATGTAGTAAAACAAATTGGTCCCTGTAACCTTTCAAGTATACGTTCTGTAGGAATTCAGAGATGATCCCAAGGCACCATGCATGCCTTGGGGTCTTTGTACCAGACAGATAGTTCGGACCTACCGCAGGGGCCCATAATCCGAGCTGAATAGTGCATTTATGTCGGAGTCCCCAAAACGCGGATGCATTTGGAAAATAAGTTACCTCATGCAAAAATACAAATCCAAGAGCTTTCAGACACGTAACTAGAAATATGCATACTAAGAGCAAGCAGAAAATCCTGATTTTATAAAGAACAGAATACCTCAACAAGCGTGTCAGAAAATCGAATGTACAGGCACACATGCTTGGGTACAAGCCATGCCCATGCTTTTAAAACACAGTATTAGATCCTACAAGAACCATAGAATTATTTTTAAGACCTAACTGAACTAGAAGCTAATAGACCTCCAGGATTATTTGCATCTTAATCTAGAATGACAAACTCACCTCTTTCTGTAAATTAACTCAGAAGTTCCAATAAATAATCCATCTCGAGTGCTAATGTTTGCAGTTTTACAAATGGAGTACATAAATAACTCCTAGTAAGGCAGGCAAATAGAATTTAGTGTTCACTGTAAAGAGCTGCTTGCTCGGCTAGCGTTGCATGCCTCACGTCCTTCGGTAACTCGTTACCCTGAAGTACAGGGTCCATAGGCAGTATCTGACATTGTGCATAATGCTGCAGCAATGCATCTGCAAGCACCAAAGCAACCATGGCCTCCACCATCGGTACCGCTGCATAAATATGCGAAACAATGTGTCGATTAGCCACTGGCATCATGCCTGAAGTGCTTGTAAGAGATAAAAATATATTTCTAAGAACTGCTATAGCAGACAAGCTGAATAGATCAGCATTTCTTTCTCCAATCAACGAAGAGAACAGAATATATGGTGGGAACTCTGAATTGCTCTCACTATTATTGTAGGATCACCGTTGATACTGTTAGTGTAACTGGTTTTTTCATCTTCAAAGTCAAGCACAGTTTCCCGATCCAAGCTGAGGACAAACAAGAGCCAATTATAAGAACCAGAAAATTTACCTCGTGGGACAACACACGGATCGTGACGCCCACGCGCCCGCAGCTCTGTCTCCTGCTTGTCGCGGGTGACAGTTTTCTGCTTTTGCTGCATGAGAGTGAAGCCATACAGACATCAGCGTAGATGCTTAAATGATAAGGAACAAGACATCTTGTAGGCGTATTAGCTTTTCACAGTGCTAAACACTACCCTTAAACAACGTGTATCATCAACCTTTTCTTTTGGGCTCTTAATCGGAATAATATCTACAACAAGCTCAACCTTGCACCAATCTTACTAGTAAGTAAAATAAGCCCAAAGGCCATGCACATAAAACTTAAGATAAGTCATCGGTTAGTGCAACTACAAGTGATAGGCATTGAGATTTAATTACACAACTTACGTGCCCTAAAAACAAGGCGACAGAGTGACATACCGTGATGGTAGAAGTGGGCTTGAATGCAATCCGAAGCACTATCATCTCCCCGTTGGAGATCCCCCCTTGAACTCCTCCAGATCTGTTGGTGCGAGTTCGCACATTATTATGTTCGTCAACATAGAACTCATCGTTGTGCTCCGAACCACGCTGGAGTGATCCTACACACCACGTTCAACCATAGTTAGATTCAAGCAGTATCGTTCACTCTCTTTCAAATTGCCTAAAACTAATGTGATTTGCTGAAGAAAAGGTAATCAATTTAAGACTACGTTCCATCAAATAAATACATCAAAATCGAGTCATTTAAGAATGTCATTATCAGAGATCCGAGAAGCATAGTACCAGCAAAACCGCTTCCAATCTCGAATCCTTTGGTGGCCGGAAGAGACATGACAGCCTTGGCCAACTCAGCTTCCAGCTTATCGAACACTGGAGAGCCCAAACCCTGTTAACAGATAATGTTCAGAGTTCAGTAAGGATCTCTTAAAGTGAAACGAATCCAAGAAATCAACTCTTAATAAATTCTTAAAAACTGAAATGTGAAGTGCTTTCCAAAGCACACCTTAGGGACATTTCTGGCTATGCAGGTCACAACTCCTCCAACAGAATCTCCTTTGACGCGGACAGCGTCAATGGCGTCGATCATTTTCTGAGCGTGCTCCTCATTCGGACACCGCACGATGTTGTTCTCAATCTGTTGACAGTTCCCAAGAGTAACGAGCATTTGTAAGCAAACATTGAGAATGTACAAATGATACTTTCGTGGGGTTGAAAACTTCCTGAAAGTATTTGCACCAGATCCGTAGGTCTGTAGACATTTCACTGATTGAAAAAAAATTCTGGGGTGTTATACAAGAGTGAAGGGTATTGTTGCCTTACTTGCTCCAGAGTTAGACTGTCGTGGTCAATGAGGCCCTCAGGGACCTCAACTCCATGAACCCTTGATACATAAGCCAGAACCTCTGTACCGGCTTTCATTTTGAGCAGTTTCTTGGCGACTGCTCCAGCAGCTACTCTGCCAATTGTCTCTCTAGCCGATGACCTACCTCCACCCTGCATACAACTACCTTCTCAGAGACTAACTCCAGTGATTAAGAATATGAAAACATGAGTGGAGGAGCCCAAGCAAGATTTAACAACTTCAATGAATTTAAAAGCATAAACCAGAAATTCACCATAACGGAGCCAAATGCTCAAAACACGAAAATTATAGATTTATATGTTCAAACAAATAGTCAAAATAAGAACAGATTTCGTTTTATAGTGTATCCAATTGGCCCTGGACAAAAGCGTGTTAGAAGAAAAACAGTGAAGATTCCATCGCCATTCATGTAGAGTACCTGGATTGCGCGGACTCCGTATTTGAAGTCGTAAGTGGCGTCTGCGTGGCTAGGACGGTAAGCCACGCTAATTTCAGAGTAATCCTGTTCAAGCCAAGAACGCAATCAGATAATGTGCACTCGTGCAAGAAAACACCGAAAAACCTAAAACACCGCTGGTGAACGGATTCATAGTAAAAAGAAGCGCGCTATTTTCCAGTTTCAAGCCCTAAAATGAAACCGTACTAGCTCAGAGCACTGAAAATTAAACGCTTACCCCTCCCCGCTGGTCTGTGTTGGGAACGGTGACAGCAATGGGCGTTCCGAGTGTAAGTCCTGCAACAAAGCAAAATTACTCAAATCGAAACGTTCAGATAAATAATGCACCTACTAATAAGTCAGCTTCAAAAGGATCGACTATTCTCAGGTTGCAGTCTACAAATAACTGCACTGCAATGTGGCATGAATGGACAAAGTCACCTACCGTTTCCAACGCCTGAAAGAATTTTGCAAGTGTCTGTTTCACTCCGAGGGGTTGTAATTCTGCTCTGCCCTGGCCTCCTGTGAAAGCATATCCATGGTCACAAACGAATTAGATCTCGTCAACCTCATTTTATGTACAACTTGCACTCTGATAAGAAGAGCACTAGGCGGCAACAATTGGAATAATTCGTTGACTATCACAGCCCTGATAGTTGTAGACAAGAAGCTGAGTTTAGCCATCTGACATTCTTTTTACGCTGTTACCCAGGGCAGTAGCGTGAGCCCCTACATGAGATCCTGAACTCAACAGAACGCCAAATACAGGTCTGGAAGCAAGGTCACCTTCTGTCAAGGTCGATTTGCATATCTTCTTCCGAAAGAGGCAACCGGGGAGGGCATCCATCAATAATGCACCCGACTCCTCCGCCATGTGACTCCCCGAAAGTCGTCACACGGAATACAGTACCGTAAGTATTACCAGCTCCCGCTCGCACCTCTACATAAATTCAACAACCTAAGAACTTGAAGTGATCACAATCCAAACAAGCAAACCGTCCATTCTACACCATTGAAACCTCGCGACATTCTCGCCTGATTCGAAGTGTTTCACCCTCACAGAAGACAAGAAGAACAGGGAATGCAAAAAAACGCGAGCGCACCGAGCTTCCGATTCCGTGAAAGAGACACCGGAAGGCCAACATCTGTGAGGCGAACAGAGTTGGCCTTACAAAGACGCAACCCGCCCACGGTGTCCAAAAAGGCGGCCTTCTCGCCGTGCCTGCCTGACGCCCTCGTTCCGCCGCCCAACGATTGCAGTGACCCTGCCTGCCCTGAAGCCATTGTAGCCATTGCGTTCATCCTCGCTCACTCGTCACACTCTTCTCCACAACCGCCAACAACTCTTCTCACACTCTACCACCTCCAACTGACGACAACGAGCCCTAGCAACAAACCGCAGGGAAACAACACCACTTCCCTCGCGGCAGGAAGGAAGCTCTGAGCGGCATAAGAATGCGAAGAAGGCAGGCCAGAATTACGGGCCACGGGAGAAGAGTGTGTCAAGAAGTCGTCGAAGGAAAGGCTAGATAGATTCAGGGAAGGTAGCCAGTCCATGAAAGGAATCGAAAAGGGAAAGAGTCGAATGACGACGACGACTGCGAAACACCAACGCACACCAAATCTGACTTTCCCCCTCCCCCCCCCCCCCTACCGTGCACTTTGCCGTTGGCAGGCGCTATCTCCACCGGGACCTCACCCGCTATACAAGAGCTTCCTTCGCCTTCGGATAAGTCTCCTGGTCGAGTCTCGTGGTTGAATTTAATGGTGGAGATCTGGGTCCAGGGCGGGGGCTTAGACCTTGACCTCCTCCGTCTAAACCGGCCGGTTCGGTCCAGGACCCACACTTTTAGCGTGTTCGCAGAAATTGCTGCTTTATTTACACGGGGTTTTCTCGTTGCTCTTGATTTCCTGACAGCTGTCAGTTTCCGGTGGGGGAGCCGGTTATTTCCATGTGATCAAGCCTCTCTGACCTCGAAGCCAACTCAGTTAAACGTAAAAGGTTTGACTGAAGAGCGGTTGCGTAACTTTTCACTTTTCCCCATTCTCAGTGACATGTGAACCATGTCGGTTAGGGTTTTGCATGAGTGGCTTGCGTCGCATAAATCTGCTTTACTGTCGAACTAGAAAAAGCTTAGCACCACACACAAGGGATTGGTGCTCACAAATCTCAGGTGGTGATCCTAAATTTGTAACCTTTACTTGTTCACAAATAATTAGGGTTTCAAAAAACAACACCATGTGTTGAGGAAAGACCACAATTGAACAAATGAAATGCTTTTTTGCATTCATGGTACATGAGCATTTCTTCTTTCGTTTTCTTTTTCTTTTTCTTAATCCATACAATGAGCCTAATATTTAATTGATTGTAAAATTTTGTGCTTTCGTTATAAGATGCAGTCAAGGATCTTTGAACATAAATAATAAAATAATATCACTAATAATAACACTAAAGTTAAATAGTATAAAAACACATGTATGGTGTGTGTGTGTGTGTATATATATATATATATATATACCAATTGTCTCAAATGCAAAACTAGTTCCTGTACATATGAAGGATACTTTAATCTGGATAATTTAATCAGGGTTATGAAATATACACAACTCATTTTTATGTAATTTTGTAATATGAATATCTTATTTCTTTCATGAAAAATATTTGATGAAAACATCACACACTTTTTCAACCTCAATAGTAATGAAACCTCAACAAACATTATGTACAAAAAAGAAAGAAGAAAACATAATGTGCTCAATAGTTTAAAATATTTTATCTACAATTTTATTGAAGAAAAACTGTGTGAACACCATTAACAATAATAATAGTAATTTTAGACAATTCAAAAATACTCCTTATCTAAATGGTTTTGCAAATATAGCCATATTCCTATTATTTGAATGCAGAGCTGACTAATATAGAAAATTCTAGCATGATCTAATATAAAAAATCTAATGAACATCTTTTTTATTTTCCAATCAATACAATTTAATGACAAGTTTTTTAGAAAAAATTGTATTTTTTAAAAAATAATATTATGCTACATTTCACATTCAAAGGCTATTCATCTGATAGAAAAAAGCTATACTTTTATTCTATTATTATACAACTACTTGAAGTCCTCCATTTGAATTGTTGAACATTAATCTAAATAATTTCATCACAGAACTTTTGATAAATTTAACACAAGCAATGTACCAAACTAGTATTTTTGTTCAAGTGACAAACTTTGGGACTAAAGAACAAAGTTATGCCAGAGCATGAAACAATCAATACTTATGTTCTATCTAAATGTGATGATTTTACTTGTACAATGTTATGTTAGTGAAAAGGCACAAATAAAAACCAATTATATGTAATGAAAGTTTTATCAATCAATTTTTATTTGTAATATATATATTTTTTATGATTATGAATTTAAGCATAATAAATATAGAAAAACATTAAAGTGACCCAACTATTTATTAAATCCAACCACCCTATTATAACCATCATTAGAAAAATGGATCATCTCTAGAAACCATCATTTTAATTATGGCCTTTTATCCCCACCCTTTTCATTTCCATCCTCTTGCTCTCTTCATTCCCAACTCTTATCCCAATTCTATGTTTCTCAATTCTTAATACTTGTCCCAACTGCCTCCATTCCTAGCCATAACAATAGAATTTCTCCTTGGCATATTCCACTTTGTAGAAGAGATCGTTTACAATATACACAACAATTGTATATTGATATAGTCAACTACCAACAATTTTTGCAAGCTCACTTGTGGTCGACCTCATGTCCTCCATAATATGTAGTAAGCACATGTGCACCTCTTTACACTTTTTTTTTGTTTTTTTTCATATTTATGTGTAATCTCCATAAGTCTCTTGCACCTTCTTTTCTACAACTTCTACAAGCTACAACAATAGAAATTTAGCTATATTGGTTAAGTATATACATAACACTTTATATGTTGATTGTAAGGTTGGACATTGTAATTACAAGATTTTATTTTAGTATCCTCTAACAAACCAACATAAATTTAAAAATTAATGTTATACTCAAAGATACAACATTCTTATGAAGAAAGTAGATTAACTTTAAAAATTTGATTGATTTTGCTATTCTAATGCTACTTCTTCTTATTGTTCTCACATTGCTTAAAGATCAAGAGAATTTTCTTTTCTTTACAAAAATGCTCTCTACAATCTTAGATTTCTTTCACAATTATAGCAACATCCAAGATTGACTCCTCTATTACAGGTGAAATTTAAGGTGTTTCATTTGAAAAACAACAATAATTGTTCTTGCTCTTCAACTTGATGCAATTAAGTGGAATAAGGTGTAAATCCTTCATATTATGAATATTGCACTCTATAAGTAATCATATTCACTACACATACAACATTGGCATTCTTTGGTCATGATAATGCAACTACAACTTTAGATGCCACATCATCTAATGTCTACTCTTTTCAAGGTTTAGAGCCACTCTATGGTAGATCATTCAAATATATATATATGGCAATAACTTCTTGTAACAACCCCATCCTAATGGCAAGCTATTGATGGTTCATACTTGCAACATCTTGTGACTAGTTACAATGCTTTCTTTGCACATGCGTACTACTTGCATCCCATGGAGCAAGTTCTTGTAGCAACCATACATGCAAGTTACCAATTATGGCACCAAGATTTTTTGATGAGAGTTGCTATTATAGCAATGACATACTTGTAAGTTGTATGTCTCTATGTAACCAATCATATAATAGTGATATAAGACGAGTTGTGGATATTGTTGTATGCAAAAAATCAGTAGAGACACATTTATCCAAAGAGGTGTTAAATAGAGCCATTGACAAAGCTCTTGCTAATTTTTAGACTCATCCATCTCTAAGCTAGAAGCCACTATCTATGGAAGGTGTTATTGTGGAGCTTCAACACCAAGGGGATCAACAATATGTCCCTTTCAACTTGTTAACTTTCAAGAATGTTTTTTCTACTTCTTTCTCTTCTTCAAGGGGGTAATTTTTTTTTCTACAACTCATACTTCAATGATAGTTGATTGTTAGTGTCATTGGAGTTTATCCCATTGAACTAATTTGGTGAAAATTTGGTTAAGTTGCAATAGAGGTTTGATCTCCAAAACATTAATTTTTTCTTCTAAAGAAGTTATATAAGAGGTTCTTTATTTTGCGAAAAAACTCCATTGATGAGATTTTCCTTTATTTTTCTTCTTTTCTACTAGGACTTCTCATCTCCTCATAAATATTATTAAAAAAACTATCAAGGTTTTGGAGAAACTTTATTGTTGTGGTTGGGACGAAGGAGGTCAAGTCGTGCATAAAGAAAGGAGGAACATGAAGTTGGGGTGAGAGTTGGAAATAAAGGTAGCAAAAGGGGACTAGGAATGAGGGGGGTGGAGATGAGGGTCACAATTGTTTTGATGGTTTTTGGAGATGATATATTTTTCTAATGATGGTTATAATAGGGTGGGTTGATTTAGTAAATATATGGATTATTTTAACATTCTTCTCTCTCTCTCTCTCTCTCTCTCTCTCTATATATATATATATATATATATATTCACACAATAACACTATCTTCATTTATTTTCTTCTTAAAGCAAATAATACTTTCCAAAAATCGTGAAAGATGCTCAAGAACTTCATGGATTGCTCAAATTGATGTTTCATTGCATGTACAATTATTTGTTTGTAAATAAAATTCAAATGATAGAGGGTTAATTTGCAATTTGGTATACATTTAAAATATCACACTTATTAAATAAATATTATTTAATATATAACCCATGGTTTAATATATAAGCCAATGGTTAATTCATTGGCTTTGCCAACATCAAGTATGTTTTTGGCAGCCAATATGCATTTAAAAAAAAAAAAAAAAAAAAAAAACACACACACACACACACAATATGCATTGATAGCCAATCAATGCCTATTATTGCAATTAAATATATATATATATATATATATATATATCTCCACGTTAGCCAAGTGCAGATTGGATTCAACCAGCTTGCAACCATCACCAAACTGATCCATTCCATCCTTTGATAGTAGTAACTGGGTAATTTGGTTGGCAATAATTGGGTCAAATCTGTACTTGGATTTTACCACCCTACTGCTCCATCTAATGGAATTTTTTGATGCTCTAGCCAAATATAAGCTAATCAATTTATACACATATATGGATGGATGAGAAATCTTAAATGCCAATTGCAAAAATTGATCTACATGAGGTAAACATAGTTCTTATTATATATATATATATATATATATACATATACATATATATTTTTATATATATTTATTTCATTGTTAAAATGACCACAAAGCTGAACTTTGACATGATTTGAGTTTGTTTGGAACAAGGAATGGGTGTTGTAACTTTCAATATAAGAAAAACCTACCAAAAAAAAAAAATGTATGCACACACACATACACTGTGTGTATATATATATATATATATATATATATATATATAAAACAAATACCATAACATATATCAAAGTTACTAACCAAAGAAATGGATGGTATGGATGACATATGAATTGCATCCACATGGATGAAACTTCAACCAGTGGCTTACGAACTTTGACCAAAGTGGGAGAAGGCGAAGGAGGGTTGACGAACTGTGTCCACAGTGGTCAATAAGTGAACTTGGTTTTTTCAGAATGTGCGTGTGCAAGTCTAAGCCACTTTCAGCACAAAAGCTTTCAACCGACTGGAAGAAAAAAGAAAAAGAAAAAAGTGCCCTGCTTACCTCATGGAATACTACCTACTGTTGCTAGTTGGATGAGAAACATTCGTTATATAACGAATGTCGTCCATGTGTTCTATGGATGAACTTGTCATGTCACAATTGTATGACAATAGTCAAAACCAAGGCAACCCAGAAAAGCCTCACAATATCCTTCGCATACCCTTTCAAATTATGTTCTTTTCATAAAAATGTTGAATGAATAAGTCCCCTCTGACCATGAACTTTAATTGAATTTGATTGAAAATCATTCAGACGTTAGGTTGATTGAAAAGAACATTAAGTTTCAAAGCAAATAGCATATAAAAATAATAGAAACATTATCTAGAATTACATATAATTGTTAAATGTGTAGATAAAAATTTCATTTATTTAGGATAATCAAATGCAATGATGCAGGAATAATCTAAGATTCAATATTAGGAATTAAAATTATACTTTTTTATGTATGAAAAATATACCATCCTTATTTTTATAGTAATTAAAAACTATTTCAGAAAATTCTTTAGATATTGACTTATAAAAGCACTTGATTTTGTGTATCATATTTTTGATTAACTCTTGATTAACTAATTTTTCGATATTTTAAAACATATTAAAATATGGAGTGAAAGAATGAATTTTAAAGCATGTTTGGAATTTAAAAGGGTTTGTATGTATGCAAAAATATGTTTTACATACATCCAGAAAGAGAGAAGATAGGTAGCAAAAGTATTTCTCCCTTTATGATTTTATGAAACACAATTATAATTCAAAAAAATTGAATATATATATATATATATATATATATTTGGGTTAGGGCACAAGAGACTGAAATGAATGAATGAATGAACAGATGGATGCTTGAAATGATTGAATGAGGGGTGCGTTTGAATGAACGTGGTCTGTATCCACTGGGAGCGACGCACGATGCCAAAGGAGGAGCCACAACCAAGAGCAAGAGGAGGAAGGGAAGCTGACGCAAGCCCTAACCGAGACTCCGAGGCCATGCTCCTCCCATTGAGACGGCACCGCAGTGCAGTTACTGCCCAACTCTGTCATCGTGCTTGCTTTGCTTGTTTGCTTGCCTTTGCTCTCTCTGATCCCTGCTCTGCGCGTCTCTGCGTCGTATTCGATCACCATGGCGGGCAAAAGTGGTGCTACCCCTGTCGACAGGGAGCAGGTACCTTTGCATTCTTTGTATGGCCCGCGTCTGCTGCACTGGGAATTGGCATTGTGAGGATTTTCTTTTGAAAGGCTCGCATGTTGTGCTGGTTATATGGGTACCTGAATGATGGCTGTGTGGCTTGGGTGGGGCAGATCTTTGGCATGGCGCAGCAGGAGATGGAGTACAGAGTCGACCTGTTTAACAAGTAAGGGTGCTTGAACGGTTGGTGTTGCGAGTTGGTTTGAACTTGCGAGGGTTGTTAGCCGGCGGGAGGGTTTTGAGGCGGTGGAGAGGGTTTTTCTGTGTTAGCGTTGGAACAGTGCGTATGTGGGTCTGTGGTGCACCCAGAAGATTTTTTTTAATGTTGCTGTGAGTTTGGCTGGGGAGTGCAGGTTGACGCAAACATGCTTCGACAAGTGCGTTGAGAGGAAGTGAGTCCCTACCTTTGAAATTGAACTTTTTTTTTCTTTTTTGTTGCCACTAAGTGGGTTAATTGGTGTGATTGCCGGATCAAGCTTTTACCGAATCTGAAATCAGGATCTTGTAAAGATTTGGCCCGATATATCATTTTCCACCAGCGAGTGCGAAATGAGTGTCTCCTGAACCGTAATTCACTGTTCATTTTTTGGTACAGTGGATTTGTGGGTTTAGTTTGCTTCATGCCCAAATTTTCTGGGACTATCAATGCTAGATATAGTATATTCGATGTGGTGATTCGAGAAGCCTTCGTGACTCATCCAAGATCATTGATGTTGTATGAGACGAGTAGCTTACGTAATTGATTGCCTAAGTGGATATTAATGATAATTATTCGATGTTTATATATTAATATTAACATCCAGTATTGGGAAGTGAGTTCATGTCTGCACATTTTTATCTTAATGGATTTCATGGCATTCTGTAGGTACAAAGAGGCAGATCTCAATGTTGGAGAGAATAGCTGCATTGACCGTTGCGTCGCCAAATACTGGCAGGTGCGTGCCTGTTAGGGTCTTCATAGTTTCTGTCAGAGTCACATGCACGTAATTTTGATTTCTGGAAGAAACATTTGTAATATCCACATTCTTCTGTATCCTGAAATAAACTGAGTGTAACTTTGGTTTGATCTTCACACTATCAATCAGTTAAAACTTTAGTGGACTGGGTTTAGCTTTTGTTGCTTGTTCAAAATTCGTCAAGAAACTAACGTTTGGATCTCTCTCTGTCTAGGTGACTGGCATCGTCGGACAAATGCTTGGATCGAACAAGCCACCCATGGGTTAATGCTTGTGTGTGCATAAATTGCACTTACTCTTGATTTACGATTTCTATTTGACGATTTGCGATAATAGTGGACCACATATAGCTACGAGACTTGCTCGACATTCATGCTTCAATTGCCTTGAACAGCCTATTCCAGTAAAGTGTCAAGCCAGAACCGTGTGAAGACTACTCAATTGGGTCCATTGTGGTAAACTGCGGACAATTTTTAACGAGTTGAGGCTTAATATCGTTTACAAATATGTTCTGGAACCACTGCTTATCATTGCAATTTTCTTCGCTTGATTACTTCTTTTCTTCACAATGATTGTGTGATCGCATAACTCATACTCCATCACAGTTAATGAGCATACAATCACTTTATTTATCTCTGGTAATCATTGCATATTTTCTAAATGGATATAAACATATGCTGGTCGATCCTTAGGACAATAAGTGAAGCAGCGAAACAAGATACGTGCGGAATTCTTCGGAGTGGATGTGTCGGTATTCGAATGACATTCGCTGTATCTCCTTCTCAGCCTGGGTAAAAACAGCCCACTAACTTATCTAAGTTGCATGACAAATGGGCTCCGTCAATTGTAGCTGCAGCCACTGCAGTCCACAAAGGAGCACCAAGTACAACGTGGGATGTAGTCAGACTGCCTACAACTATATTTTTTCGAACCTACCTCGACTGAGCCGATGATGAGATGGGAACTGGCTATAATCATCTTTGCAAAACTGAAATGAGAAATGGTCCGAGGAGTTTTATTGAGAAGAAATCATCAGCAAAAGTGATCAAAATCCAGCTCCATGAATTGATTCACCCACTGTAGTTCCAACTGACGGGCCACCAGTCCGGTAAGCATTCAAATGCTCAATTGTAAGACCGCCGATTTTGTGGGATGTTACGCCAAGGTCTGCCAGACCCATTGCTGTTCGTCCAGGACAAAATGCCAAAAAGAAAAGAAGTGCAATTTTTATCATTCACCTGTGAACAAAAGACTAACCAGATATTTCTAGATAATAATCAGAATTCAAGTCGTGACCAAGCAGTCTGACATGGAACGCTGTGGGTTCAGTTTCAGTGGTTACAAAGAAGTAATGCAAACAGAAAATTAAGGAAGTAGGCAAAAAAGCAGTATTTATGCACCATCTGAAGAGACGACGAGGTCGCAAGACAATTGATCCAGGTAGTCTTTCGAGAATGTCGGTGAAAAAGGAATTGGGATTCCTCTCTTCATTGCAACCTCCCGTGGCATAGCAAGAAGCTGTGATGCATGAAGGAACTTATTGATTATTTCTCATGCACCGATTCAAGAGATCAATTCCACATGGCTACATGACAGGTGGGCAAAATCAAATAACTTGAAAACCTCACCTGGGCTAGAGCCATAGGAATATGCACAACACGCGGATGCTCTCGTATTGCTTCAAACACAAGCGTCACCTGCGGCAGTAGATACTGAACTTCAGGTCCTAGTATAAAACACACCACACGAATGTCCTTTCCAAATAATCTGACTCAAGTAAACAAATATTCAGTCCCACCCAAGTGGCGCAAATTTGTATAGATGAAACATAGATGTCTGTTGATGGTCATGGAAATATTCTCACAAGATCATTCACTGTAAAGACATCTGGTCCACCAAGCTCAAATGTTTTGCCCATGCTAAAACCTTCATCTCTGATGGCTGCGATAACTGCTGCAGCGACATCAACTACAAGAACAGGTTGCATCCTGCCATCCAAATTTGAAATCGGCATTAATTAACATTGTCCCAAAACGCTGATGACCCAATCAGGCAAAGCTAAGTGCACAAGATAGTTAACACAAGCTCAGCCAGCTGGTGCAGCGAATTACGAACTTCACAATAGATGATTAAAACTAATTCACAATCCTCGTGGATGATCAATAATGCTTTGAGGAATTTACTTGGTAAGACCATCACCCGGAATGGGCACAACAGGAAGTTTTTTTGCTTGGATAGCCCACCGATTCAGCAAACGGTCCTCAACACCGACCATAGGTCCTGTTCTCAAAATTGTGGCCTGGTTGCATATACCAACATTAGTGATTGACAATAGGTATTCAACCACAAGAACATCACGGAAGAGGTGAAAGACATACCTCAGGAAAGTTCTGCTTAACTACCTCCTCAGCAGCGTGCTTAGACCGAAGAAGTCTTGACGGAGAATCAGGGGCTGCAGCCAAACATGACATTTGTACGTACTTAAGAATACCACCATGCTCCCTAGCCAACTGCCACACGTCACTCCGCTATTATAAAAAGTTCGTCTTGGAGCCGAGTTACACAATACAGCACAGTAGTGAATCGTGCGGTCCAGCTTAAAACCGAAGATGCAACCATTGCAAACTTTCACAGAAAGCTAAACTTCATGGCTGGAAGCCCAACCACTAGGCCCTAACCACATGCAAGGACATTGCCAAGCCAACGAATGTAAGCACAAGCGGCACCTTAGATATACGATTTGAGATTCCATGATTGACATCCTCGAAGCTGAAATTTCTTGTCTCGTACTCTTTTCCTGCAGTTATACCAGTTACAGAATGAGAACCTGTTACTCAGGTGAGAAGAATCACCAATCAAGGCCTAACTCTAATTCGAAACATCTTTCAACCAGAATTCCATGTGTTGAGCATCGAATCCTCTTTGACAAAAACTAAATCACACGCATTCTTCAACCAAAGGTGTGATCTGAGAAGATTCGTACCGATGCAATTCACAATAACATTGGAGTTGGCAATAACTGGCTTAATGGAGCCCTCATCTCTTGCATCGTACTTTATCGGCACAATCTGAAAAATTCTCCTCCAATAGCAAGGCAACCCTATTTAAATTATGGCTACTTCGCAACAACATGGACTCATTGAAGTAAAGATGTGCAGTTAAAAAAGAGGCGCGAGAAACCGAAACTGAATAAGCTGAACGGTACCCATTTACTACGAGCTAATACCACAGTCTGACGATTCAAATTGTGATTTAACTCAGCTCAATGAAATCTAAGAATAAACGGATCAACACCTGTCCTAGTCTCCCATGAGCTTCAAATGCCTCCATTCCTCATCCAAGCCTCTGTAAGGTACCATGACTTGGGACCCCATTCTTGCTGACAAACACAGCTGCATTAATGTCATCATATGACATAAAAGCCATTTAGGGCCACC